GGGGAATGGTTTACCGGCACTGTGCCTATATGAATGCACACAGCCTGTCTCCTGAGCACGCACACAGGTGCCTTCTTAGCACCCTGCTTGCTAAGGAGGCACTTGGAGGAGTGGGCAGTGACAGTGGGGGATTCCATGTGCCTCATCTAGAATATGTAGTTCAGTTTTGGGCACCAATGCACAAAAAGAATATTGGGGAATTGGAGAAAGTGCAGAGAAGGGCAACCAAACTGATAAGAGGCATGGAGGAGCTCAGCTATGAGGAAAGATTAGAGGAACTGAATTTATTCTCTCTTGGGAAGATGAGATTAAGGAAGGATATGATCAACATGTATAAATACATCAGTGGTTTATAGAGTGAATTCGGTGTAGAGTTATTCACCCTGAGGTCATCACAGAGGACAAGGGGGCACTCTGGAGGAAAAGAAATTTTAATCTCCAAATACAGAAAGGTTTCTTCACAGTAAGAGCTGCAAGAATGTGGAATATACTCCCTCAAGAGCTGTTTCTGGCCAGCTCCGTAGATTACTTTAAAAAAGGCCTGAATTCTTTCCTAGATACACAGACTATAACTGGATACTAATATTTATAGGTAAAGTTGATCCATGGAATATCCGATTGCCTCTCAAGGGATCAGGCAGGAATTTTTTCCTCTGCAGGAGCAAATTGCTACATGCTTTGCTGGGTTTTTTTTGCCTGCCTCTAGATCCACTGTGGGTATAAGATTATAACTTTTTTTTTTTAATGGTTGAACTAGATGGATTTTTTTCAGCCAGACTAACTTTGTAACTATGTAATGAGGCAAGGGACCTTTCCATTTGATATCGTTGCACAGAGCAGAGAATCTTTTTATTTTTAACAAAAGCCTTACGCATCACTTTCAGGGTTATGTAGGGAGGTAAGGGGCAGAGGAGCTAGGCTAGCACAGACAGTAATTAGACACTCCCAGAAGAGAAGGGGGCTAGGACGTGCAAGAAAGGAGGTGGGCTGTGATAGGCTGTCAGAGGTACTGTGCAAGTGAATAAAGAATTGTTCATGGAAGGAACACTGCAAATCAGCATTTAAAATACTTGTGCTTTTACCTGAAATTTACTAATAAAACTGTTATTAGGGTTGCTCGAATGCAAACTACAAAATAACCAATAGCAATCAGATTTTTTTCTGTGAGTGATGATGACGTACTGAAGTATGAATCTGGTTTGGTGGCTTTAGGCAACTACACCTTACTCTCTTCCTTACTGAAAAATAATTTTATGTTATATGATTAATAAATAATAAAATATTATAATAAAACACTGTATATTTTAAAACAATTGGGGTATTATCTTACAATAAAGAAGCATACATGCAAGAATAATGAAACTCTACTGGGGAAAGGAATGATCAAATCAAGCAGTTAAAGTATGGACTGGAATCCAGAAAATAATCAAAATAAATGCAGAGAAAGCCAACATTGTCAAATGCTCTAATATGATCTTATATTGCCTCCTGGTGGCAAACAAAATACATTACAAAGCAATAATAGAAATCATTCTAAAGGAACATTGCATTGAGGACGGTCTTTACTGACCTCCCTTTTTTAAAAATAATGGCCTTTTTTTAAAAGTCCTGGCCACCATGCTAATCCAATGCCTTTAATGCTTTCAGAATCACTGATGTGGAGCAAGAAGATCAAGAGTAATGGTTTTACTCAAACCTTGTTTGCCCTGGCTGTCATGTTAACCTAATGCCTTTAAAAATGTCTGATTCAATGACCCAGAACAAATACTACTGTACGTTAGGAGTTTTGACTTTAAATTTGTTAGTTTCTGGTAACTAGCATTTACAGTAGGAAATCATCAATGGCAGCCTCCATTCCCTGAGTATGTTTTCTTTAAATTTACTAATAGCATTTTAATTTATTATAAAACATTAAATTGCTTATTTACACTGGATAAAGGCATGATCAATGGCTATAGACAAACATTTCAAAGCTGCGTGACCTAAAGAGTTACTTTTACTGTGCCCATTCTCGGGCAGAATGACAGTGCCTCCTAATTTCCCAGCCCTTATCCCCTACAGCACAATATACTGGTCTGCTCGTAATGGGTAGCCAATGCAGCAAAGCTGACAGAAAAACACACCTACAATGTTTTTTTCCAGAAAGCAATGAACCACGATTGCTGCAGTGCTAGTCAAAATGGGCCGCACAGTGGCTAAGTAGTTAGCACTTCTGCCTAGCAGCACTGGAGTTGTTGATTCAAATTCCAACCATGACACTACTGGCCTGGAGTTTGCATGTTCTCCCTGTGTGCCTGCATGGGTTTCCTCTGGTCTTCCTACAATCCAAAGACATTCTAGTAAGGTTAATTGGCTCATGTCTTAATTGGCCTTAGTATGTGTTTGTATGAATGTGAGTTAGGGACCTTAGATTGTACGCTCCATGAGGGCAGGGACTGAGATGAATGTACAATACATGTAAAGGGCTGCATAAATTGACAGGGCTATATCTGTAATAAATAAATAAAATGAAATGTGGAATACAGCAATGCAAGGGTGCGAATCGAGATTTCTGGGCACGAAGGAGAATGTGGCCTCCCTCATTTGACAGTGCTCAGGCATGAGCAGCAAATTGCCAAGCCTAAGCACTGTCATACGAGGTGTCCTGGTCCACCCAGGTAAGCTCCAACACCAGAGTTCGGATCAGGGTGGGCCATCAGGAAGCACTGTTAATCTGCCCTGAATGGGCATAAGACAGCATCTGTCTACACCACCCTATAGAAAAAAAAATGGCTGGAAAAAAAAACTGAATTCAAATTTTCATTCTTTGGCTTTTAAGCTACATTTCAGACTTCTTAGTTGGCGAGGACCAATACAGACAGTTTGTATCAAACAGATTTTCATCAATACAGCACTAAGGATGCATGTACTCAGTTCTTCAATAACTAGAGAAAGTAACTAAAAAACAATATTTAACAGAGATAGACAACAAATCAATTACTGTCTATTAGGCAATCTAAGATTTTCAATTTAACATGTTCAGTTATCACTGTAAACCATTTTATTTAGGGCTTGATTTAATGGGCTTTGTTATGTTGATGGCATTAGTTTAAGATGCTTCTACAATCAGTCAGAATTCAAATGGAAGGTGCATCTGACCTGTAGTTGACCTGTTTTTTTTTTATCTGCCTCAAGCAGATTTCCATTCAATAAACAAGAGCCTGTTGACATTGGTCCTTGAAAGAGTGCCACACAGGTATGTTTTTATTTTATATAATTTGAATCAGTCAGAATGACAGGCCAAACCTTATTCATTTTTAATAAAAAGTTTACTTAATACATTTTTTGAATGCTCTAAAAACACAAAAACTATAAAAAACAAAAAATATTTCTACTTGTCTGAGAATTAAAGTGAACAGCAATGTGCAAAGTGTTGTAAAGCACATAAATCACAATTCCTTTTAAACTGCCAGACTGTAATGTAATAAAATTTAATTTCTGCTGTTTTTTACTGCACACTGCTCTGGTTAATGGAAAAAACTTTATGGGGTCTAAAGCAGTACGTGAAAGGTCAATGTGATCACATAATATAGGAACTATTTACAAAAACATTGGAGAGAGCACCGTACCTCAAGCCGATGTGATGCGGTCTCTGGGTCTGTCACAATAAGAAATTCCTCCAGTGGCTTGCTACCATTTGCTTTTGGCTTCGATGTGTTTGGAATGGTGACAGTTTCCCCTGAGGATGTAGCATGATCAGAATTTTGAAGCTGAAGTTTCTTCAAGCGGCGTTCTTTACGGATGTCTTTGGCTTTCCGGCAAGGTGGCTTACTGGCATCAGCACCTATACCTATTATGTGTCAGAATAAAGCCCACTAAGATGTGGCACACAAACAATGCAAAAAAAAGTCTACAGAAATAAGGCCGCCATGGTTGATCATCAATTCTGAAAATGACGGTTCCAGTTATTACTTTTCCAATTACTGCCCCCTAAGCCAATTAGATTTGATTTTTCTCATTGGCTGCATATTTGTTGCAGATCAGTGACTCAGACAACAGTGAATCTGTTAGATCAGCAGGACTGCCTTGCTGAGGACCTTTAAAGATCAAAACTGCAGCCCATTCCCTCCAGCATCTCACTACTAGTTAACACCTACTGTCATTCACAGTTTCAGGCCAAAAGTAAGGTATGGGATAGTAATCACCCACAGTAACTGGCCAGAATTTGTACAATAGAGTTCTTGGGTTCTGGGACTGTCTAGTACATAGCTGAACAATCTATGTAAGTATATTTTGGCTAAAGACTCCAATAGAGAGATATTCCATCAATAGCCAGTGTCCCCACCATCTCCCTCTCAATGCCCTAACTAAAGTTCTCGCTTGCAATTTCATTTTACACTGAAAATTCTATTAGGTGAGCATTAAAACATTAATAAGCTTTGTAATTGTTGCAGTAGTTCTGTGAACTAGGTATTCCCCAAGATTTATGAAGCCAGGATGATGTTCCACTTGCCACCCTGATGTATAGGGATAGAGGCGATCCTTACTATATCCTACATCATAACAATATATTATAATGAAATAACAAGAATAAGAGTGTTTAAATCAGTTAATACATATAGATATATATTTGTGTCTTAGATTAAGGTCTATTGTATTAGACATGGCTATTATTGCATATTTTGAGAAGTTGATTGATATATATATATATATATAAAAGCATATTCCATCAGCAGCTAAAATGGCTTCTGCTGCTAAAAAGGCTTTTTAACCACTAGCCTAACGGGCACTTATACCCCCTTCCTGCCCAGGCCAATTTTCAGCTTTCAGCGCTGTCACACTTTGAATGACAATTGCGCGGTCATGCAACATTGTACCCATATGAAATTTTTATAATTTTTTTGAAACAGATAGAGCTTTATTTTGGTGGTATTTAATCACCTCTGGGATTTTAAATTTTTCTTAAACAAACCAAAAACCACTGAATTTTGAAAAAAAAAAACATTATTTCTTAGTTTTTGTTATACAATTTTGTAAATAAGTGAGTTTTCTCCTTCACTGATGTGCACTAATGAAGTTGCACTGATGGGCATTGATGAGGAGGCACTGGTAGGTTGCACTGATAGGCATTGACAGGCATCACTGATGGGCACTGAAAGGCAGCACTGATACATAACACTGATAGGCGGCACGGACTGGCACTGATAGGTGGCACTGATTGGCAGCACTGATAGGTGGCACTGACTAGCACTGATGGGTGACACTGAAAGGCAGCTCAGATGGGCAGTGATATGTGGCATTGATGTGCACTGGTATGCACTGATATGTGGCATTGATGTGGCACTGATATGTGGCACTGATGAGCACTTCTGGGGCCACACTGATCATCAGTGCCCTGATAAGTGTACATGTCTCCTCCACGGAAAGCCAATTACCGGCTCTCCTCTCAAGCTGTCAGCGTGACAGCTCGAGAGGAGAGAATGCCGATAACCGGCATTTCCGTGTTTACATGTGATCAGCTGTGATTGGACACAGCTGATCACATGACCGAGCCGACATCTTCGGCTCTTTCCGTGATCCGCTGTGTCCGAGGGACACAGCGGACTGGCGATCGCCGCACTGCGCGCTCCCTGAGCCGCGCATGCGCAATGAGAATGGTAGGACATCATATGACGTCCTATCAGAACGAGAGAACCACCTTGCGCCCATTATTGTACTATAGGACGGGCGGAAGGTGGTTAAATGATGTTTTTGTAAGTTGTTAAAGACTGCTGAGTAATGATGAATGTTTGATAAAGTGTCTCGATAAATTGTTAGACAGATATTCTGACGTGTAACTGATAAGCATAAAAGGTAGGCAGGCAGCCAGCCATAAAGAACCCGATAAAAATGTGGACTGCAATCAATCAATCTAAGAGAGAGAATCTGATGGGCAGGGCATGGGTGCTCTTATACAGCTGTATTATCAATAAATATATAATTTGGAGCTCTCGTCTGCAAGGTTGTTCATTTCAGGTTTAAAGCCGTGAAAACCCTATACATTTATTGGTGCCTTTGACCCGGACCATCGCTGAAGCCAGGATCACTGCAGCCTATACACATCTCAACTACAGACAAGCAAGGCCTAACAAGCGAGCTTATTTCTCACATAAAAAAAACTTGTCTGCGCTTGGGGAATGGAGAAGAGGCAGGTGGAGAAGAGGCAGGTGATCCAGTTGCTAAACGCATGATTAAAAGAACCCAGACGAGAGGTAAATCGGGTTAATATATACACAGATTCACGTTTTGCTTTTGGAGCAATCCATGATTATGCAGCATTGTGGAGAAGCAGGAATTATTTAACTCAAGGTAAACCGATTAAGAATGCTGCTCAGATAATGGCCTTATTGGAAGCCATTACCTTACCAGCCTCTGTGCTATAGTAAAAGGTAAAGGCTCATACTAAAGGAAGTGACCCCATCACTATGGGAAACCAAAGAGCAGACAAAGCTGCTAAAGAAGCTGCTCTGTTTCCTTTAAGTGAAGCGAGAAATGAAAGTGTGGTTTTTGAAAAACATACCTGATGAAGAAACATTGGGAAAGCTGCAAACTGCAGCATCTCAAAAAGAGATAAGTAAATGGAAGAAGGCCAGGGGCACACAGGATGAAAAAGGTATTTGGATCATGAGGAAGGGAGACCATGTGCCCCTTATTCTATGTATCCTGCTTTATGTTCTATGGCACATCTCCTCTCTCATGTTGCCAAAGGAGTGATGCTGGATGCAATTTTGTAAATATGGTTTGCGCCAAGTATTGAGACAATGGCAAAACAATTTTGTCAGGCATGTTTGATTTGTGCACAGTTCAACCCAGGGGAAAAAAAAAAAAAGTACAAACACCATCTGGTCATATCCCAAGACCTTGGTTGGAAGCTTTCCCAGTGGCAAAAAGCTACAGCAACAGCTAAGAAACTAATACAGGAAGTAGTATGTAGGTATGGAATCCCAGAGACAATAGAGAGTGATAGAGGGAAACACTTCACTGGTCAAGTAATGAAGGAAATACTGGCATCTTTTAACATAGAACAACACTTGCATACACCATACAACCCAGCTGCAAGTGGCAAGGTAGAAACATATAATGGGTTGTTAAAAGCAAAGCTGGGAAAAATTAAAGCTGAGAGAGGATTGAATTGGTTACAAAGGATTACCAATTGCATTGTTTTCTTTAAGAACCACTCCTAAACAGAAAGAAAGGTTATCTCCTTATGAGATACTTTTTGGATCAGTGCCAAAGACAGGTTTGTACTATCCATAGGCATCAACCAAATCCTACGGTACACTCACTGAGTATGTAATAGGCTTACAGAAAAACCATAATCAGTTGCATAATAAAATCTATGCCTCACTTCCAGATCCAGATGATCTTGAAGGGACACATAAGTTGCAACCAGGTGACTGGGTGATGCTTAAAAAGCACCAGAGGAGGAGAGGTCTTGAGCCCAGGTGCACAGGACCCCATCAAGTGGTACTGGTGACCCCAACAGCTGTAAAGCTGGAGGGCAAGGAGGCTTGGGTGCATGCATCACATTGCAAACACATGCATAAGGTCGTGGTACCTGAGCAACCAGGCTAGCTTAAGGGATGAGGCCTCGGAGGGGGGCCCCTGAACTTGACAGGCGGTGCTGAGGGAAAAACATTAATTATGTCCCTTTCAGTTTCAGAATAAAGTCATCTGTGGAGGAGGAAGATGAGAGCATGGCAGGGTATCCTGATGATATTAATCCTAGGCCTGATGAATGTGGAGAGCCAAACCTTTCTGAATAGGATGATTCAAATGCATGAGGTGATCTCTAACCAATTTAATCTCTCAGACTGTTGGATATGTACTACGATTCCCCCTAGTCTGAGTCACAAGCCCATAATTGCTATGGCGGTGACAAGTCCTGATTTATATCATGCTTTGTTAGTAAATATGTCTACAAGTAGTACATTAAATGTGCACCAAGGGAAGGCGGTCAAGGAAGATCTGCTAATCCAGGGTATATCAGGAAAAGGAATAGGTATCACCTTAAATGGTACAACTAGGGTAGGTATCACAGATTATTACCAGAAGCCAGGTGAGATCCAAGTTGTATTAAATGGGTGTTATAATATATTGAATCAGACTATGTGTCGGTGCAAAGATGATTGCTCCAATTGTTTTAATAAAACCTTGAAGCAATCATTAAAGGCTTTTGATTTACCAGACGAGTGTAATGACACTTATATAGATAGTGATGTAAATAAATATATAATATATCTGTAAAGGAATTATTGATGTCGGAATTAAAAAATGTCGGGGCAAAAGTCCTACCTAACCCATATTATTTTGTGTCTGGACGGAAAGCAAGGAAAAGTTTGCCCCTAAAAGCTAATGGTACCCGTGTCATAGCAGAACTTATTTATGCTACAAGACCAGTGAATATGTCTGATGTGTTAAAGGAACAAAAGGACATAGACAGAAGAGATCTACAGAAAGTAAGGTCTATTCTATAATATACACTGATATGGAAAGACCCGCCTCATCAGAACATAGGTACTATAAGGGGTAAAGTGTAAACCTGGCCATAACCTTCTTTGTTAGTTTTGGATCTGGAAAAATTCAAACAAACACTCTGTTTGGTTTAATAAATTTAAAAAACAGGATTTTTGTACTTTTGTGCTCACCGTAAAATACTTTTCTTGAAGTCCATAGAGGGTCACAGGAAGTCCTATAGGTGTCCATTTATCATGCAGCGGTAAATTACCGCTGCTCAGTTCTCTAGCATTCTTAGAGGAAACAGCTCTCCTCTGAATGCCTGTATACGAAGTGGTGTAGATCATTTCTCCTAAAGAGGAGTGAAGCGATCTGCAAACTCTTTGAACTCTAGAAAACGGCTGCTGTTACTGTAATCTTGCGAGATTACAGTAAAATCAGTGAAGCACACAGTTTATTAAGTAGCGGTAAATTAACTGCTGCTTAGTTGGTGGCTCTATCAGAGAAGACTGCTCAGTACCTTACTACACTACACTACACTACACACACACACACATAAAACTTGCTCTACCCGATCTGGGGTTGTGAAAGGCAGAGGGGCTTTTCCACTGTCTTGGGGGCTCTGACTGAGGAAGAAGGAAGTTAATAATCTTCCTCCTCAGTTCTTCCGGGATTCACTCTTCTCTCCCCGATTCTCCATCTCTGGGCTGGAGAATCTGGGAGGGAGAATTTTCACACAGATCACCAGTAAAGGGCTGACATCGCACCTTCATAAACTGTTTCTGTCAATGAAAGATTCTCTGTGTGCTGAAAAAGATCAGCAGAGCATATGTTCTCCACTGATCATCTGCTTCAGAAACCACTAATGTACTGAGATCAGCAGCTATCCTCAGGATCACAGCTCATCTCAGTTTCAGATTCGGACACCATAGTGTCAGTTATTCTATGCCTAGTAGAGGACTGGACACTTGCAAACAAAGAAAACAGTGGGCGAGCCCAGGATAAACCCCCCGCTATTCCCACGCATGCCAAAGTTTGTAGCAAGCAGTACCACAGCATAATCATACACAGAGTGGTGGAAACTGTATCCCTCAATGGACTTCAAGAAAAATATTTTAAGGCGTGTACAAAAACCCTATTTTCTTTCTCATCCATCTAGTGATTCAGGGAGTCATATACTTCTGGGAAGTCCAAAAGCAGTCCAACTGGGGGATGAGTAACAGCAATCAGCATTACCTGGGCAAATGTGAACAAACCTGGGGAATGCATGCATCCCAAGAACTGTCAAAGGATGAACCTATCACTGCATGAGGCTCAACCTGGTAAAAGAGGACAAGACCAGGTGGTAATAGCATGGGAATAAAGCCTTATGCCAGAAGACAAGGGTACTCACTAGTGAGGAAGATACACCATTGAAGGTAACCTAACAATTGACAATACCATAGTATTGGTCAATCTTATCCATCCAAGAGTTGGAACAGAACAAAAATTTCCCAAAAAGCAAAGACTCACAGCCTAAGTTTGAGTAGCACGGAGAAGGAATACCTATCCAAGGATTTGGATCCAACCAAGGAACTGAAGGTTGTCCTGGTAAGGGAATACCAGAGTTTCTATAAGCTAGGGAAGGCCTAAGACTCAGTTCACCTGTTCTTAAAGTCCACGAGAGAAGGTGGGTGGTGCATGTCTGGAGAAATTACCAGGACAGACATCTACCTTGCCAGAGAGAGGACCATCTAGAAGAATGCTAAAAACGGCTAATTCAGAAGTAACTCCAAGGCGTGAACATAGACAAAGTTTATTCCCCTGGAATCAGCATGGTTAATGGGAAGGTATATTACAGCTATAGAAGGATTAGGCAGGGAATAGCAGGTAGATCTCAATAAATATTGAAGGGAACAGATTTGATATAGCAGGGGACTAAACTCCTGCCTGAAATAACCCATCTATCCTGATGTCCAGTAGATAAGAATTCTCCAATGACAAGATCTTCCCAAAGTGGGAAGATGGGAGGGTGGAGGTAGACCAAAAAAAAAT